TTTGTAAATATAAAGTTAGTTCGCGAACTTTTGATCACCCCTCGTACACTACGAGACATAATTTTTTATAACAGTTTTTGATTTCAATGAACATGACAAAACACTATTACCCCCACAGTTTTTGTCTGATTTCAGTAGAACTTAATTAACAAACAAGTCGACTACACTAAGATACATAATTCTATTAATTGGTTTTTGATTTCGATGAACAGTATTGCCATAATTACTAAAAACAGAACTTTTTTCTGAAATACTATCAAAACGCCAATCCTCCTACAATTGTCTGTCATCCGTCTGTCTGTCTGTTCGTCCGTCAGTCTGTTAACATATTTTTAAAGATGCTACCCCTCCTACAGTTTTGATCTGATTTCAGTATAACTTGGCATAAAAGTCGACTACAGTAAGATACATAATTCTGTGTATCGGTTTTGATTTGATTTCGATGAATGGTGTTGCCATGGTAACTAAAAAAAGTTTCTCTGAAATACTATCAAAACCCATTCCTTCTACAGTTTTGTTCTCATTCAATATAACTTGGCACACAAGTCGACTACACTAAGATACATAATTTTAAGTTTTTGGTTTCGATGAATGGTAATGCCATGGTTATTAAAAATAGAAATTTCTCTGAAATGCTTTCAAAACACGACTTCTCCTACAGTTTGGTCTGATTTTATTATCTTGGCATACAAGTAGACTTCACTGAGATACATTACTTTCTTTATCGGTTTTTGATTTTGATGAATGATGTTGCCATGCTTACTAAAATCAAAATTTCATTAAAATTCTTTTAAAATGCTACTCCTCCTACAGTTTTAGTCTGATTGCAACAAATTTTGCGGCAAAAAGAGACTAAACCAATGATTTTTATTCTATTCATTGCTGTTGCAAAGTTTCAAGTCCGAGTGCTACTTTTTTTCTCCCTTTGTACAAACCAGTAGAGCTACAGTCTCATCAGAGAATTCTGGTTTAATTCCTTTGAAATGAGCGTGTCATTATTTAACTACCAATGTTCAAAAAAGAGCTCAAAATGTTCCATTCAAACGAGAAATTTTACCACTTCAATGCGTATCATTGTGAGAGGCTTTGTCGGAGTACGTCACTTAAAAGTAAATCACCATGCTTTACTTTTGGAATTTCCATAATAAATAATGTTATAAATAACATACTAGTATAAACATTTATAAGTAATATTATAAATGAATTACATATAAGTATAAATATTTATTAATAATGCTATAAATAAATAACATACTAGCATAAACATTTATAAATAATGCTATGGATGAATAACATACTAGTATTTATTAAATAAATGAATAACACATTCTAGTATAAACATTTATAACAAGATGTGTTTGTGAAACACTGATGCCCCCGTATGATAGCTTTTTGCGAAAGTTGATCGGAGTTTGTCAATTGCAAGTCAAAATCCAAGGTCAAGGGATGAAAAATGTTACCCAAAAAGGACTTTTTCTCAATGAATATACCTGTGAAATATGAAATCCCAAGCACTAACCATTAAAATGTTATGGTCAAGGTTAAGGTTTTTTTAAGTGTCGGTCAAACTCCAAGGTCAAAGGGCAAATTAAAGGTACCCAGGGGAAGGCCATGTCATAAGAAATACAATGTAAAATATTAAGGCCTAACACCAACTGTTCAAAAGTTATGACCAAGGTTAAATTTTTAAAGGTTAAAGTTCAAAATCGTTGCTATCCAAAGAAAGACTTTGTCACATGAAATATACCCGTGAAATATGAAGGCCCTAGTACTACTGTTCAAAAGTTATGTCCAAGGTTAAAGTTTTTAAAAGTGGGTCAAATTCAAAGGTCATATATATATATATTATATAATCGCCCGTTATGCAAATTATCCCACATTTCCAACTATCGTTGATGCCCTGGCATACTCTACTAACTAGACAGTGATTCCTTATATTTCCATTTCATTGTGAAATAAAATTGTAAATTTAGATTTTAAAAATGTACACTAATAGATTTAAATCACACCAGGCCTCACATATCAATTTCAATAGTCCCCGCCCACTGACGTCAAACACAAAGACAGCCGCACGAGAATTACATGCATATTAGACCTCCTTAGCGTCAGACACAAGGACAGCCGCACGAGAATTACATGCATATAAGGCCCTTCTTAGCTACTGACCTTTCGCTTGGCGAAATTTGCATTCCGTTGGAATGATCAAGAAATCAACTCTCCTAACTTTCAAAGAGTTATCACAGAGAAAACAAATAGAAATGGAAATATATATATATATATATATATATATATATATATATATATATATATATATATATATATATATATATATATATATATATATATATATATATATTAGACCGACGACATATCCAAAATTTTTAATTTAATGCTTATATTTACATTCTCATAAAAAAAGCTCAAAATCATTAATTAGCACTTGCTTATTAATCAATTTAAAATAAAAGGCATGTTTCCTTGTTAATGAATGCACTTCAGCCTGTGCAACTTGAAACGAAATTCAAAAACCGCGAGATTTTCTGCCATCTTTAGTGGTACATGGTCACAAGGACTAGAGAAGAAAAAAAGTCAGTAATTTTAATCAAGAATTTTTTTTTTTTGAAATTGATGTAAAAGACTTAGCCCACTTAACATGAAATATAAACATATGCGCTCAATATTTTCAAGCGATTTTGGTCGAGTCGATCTAAACCACAATTTTTAAAAATATTTTCAAAGTCTTTGTCCCTGGGTTTCCAATCTGTAATATGATGAACATAACTTAATGATTTTGAGAAGTGGGTAAATATATACCTTTCCTTGCATAGTCATTTTTTTTTAAATTCAACTTTATGCAAATTATCACGCAAGCCAATTGCTTTTCACATCATAATACCAAAAAATAATAATAATAATAAACAAATAAATAAATACGAAAACAAAATAAATAAATGAATAAAAATACGAAGACAGTTACTCCTTAATTACATACCTAATTGTCTCTTCTAGTTATATGCAACAGATTGTTTAATTACTTAAGCTGACATTTAATAAGTACTAGTGATTCCATCAAGTGTCTGGGTGAATTTAAAATCCAGAACTCTTTGATAAATTTATTTTGGAACTCTTAAAGACCATTATGATTTAAACCAAAAGTTGAGAACATGTTTCTGTGTCCACACACGGAGACACGACTCTTGATTAGAAGTGATAGAGAACACAGTACATGAGTGTTTATATAGTTGGCTATGAATATTATCATCAGACAGGGTCAGTTAAAAAGGGGTTAAAATTTATGTGCATCTTGTCTTTTCATGGTCATAGGGCATAACATCACCTTAAGGACATAAAGAATCGTTACACAGAAACAAACAAATCATTAATCATGCATGTTGAAATTAACATAATAGAGTAACGAAGAGAACTCGCTTAAAACATTGAAACCTAAAGGGGAGATTTTTCCACTTAGATTCATTCTATTTATTCTTGAACACGACCCGAAGACACAGGCTCTTGTCAGTTAAAAAAAATCGCCTTTTCAAATGAAAAATAAATTTTATAAGAAATTCGATATTCTTTTACACCATTAACAGTTCACGAAAGTTCACTGTGATCATAAACATTGTCGTGAAACAGAAATAGTTTTGTGCAAAATAAAGTTGTTCGTCGTATATATGGTATCTTTTGAGGATGTTTGCAATACTGAATAAACTAAGAAGAAGAGAAGTGCAGTGATATCTATCAGGTAAGTATAAACTCCAGGTAAAGGTCATAATAAAGTATGACATATTATTCCGTGACCTGCGCAACCCCTTATCGTTCATAGAATCAACATTTTACCTGTAGCTGCTTTGGGATATTTTAAGAAAACTTGTACATCGCCACCGCCGAGCGCGGAATCTGAATTTTCAAGCACCTTACCAAATATCTTGCATGATTATTTAAAGGTAAGTATTCAATTTTATTTTACATTTATATAATAAAGTATAGAGCATGTGGAGTCTGTCAACGTTTTACATTTCTGCAGAAAGAAATAGAGAAACGAGAGTGAATTTACGAGTACCCTTTTTTTCTTAGCTGTTTATTCAGAAGAGATGGCCCATTAACCATCAAAGACTTTATTCTTGGAGGAAAAAAAAAAGTCAAATATATTTTAAGCTTGTCATGAAAGATTGCCTGAGGTTTAAAAACGCATTCATTTTTAAATAGCAATATATCATGTAGAGAAAATTAGATGCACATATTAAGTGAATGTTTTCCGAGATTCAATACTTTCAATTTGAATTACAAAAAAAAAAAAAAAATTAATTGAATCTCTTTTTGAAATCATTAAAATTTAAAGACTTAAGACAGCTTTTTCAAATGATTTTTACGATGCAGAAAATACTTTTGAATGATTCAGATCTAGAATTTAACCAGCACGAAAGTACTGTGTCACCCATTCTCGATTGTAATACACCTTAATAACAATGAATAAAATAATGAAAACAAAGCAAACAATTTTTTTATTTTGATATTGTCTACGCAAGATAAGTTGACAGGGTAGAAAAACGTTTAGACGATTCTAGTCAGAAAGGTCAATAAAAATATGGTCAGTTCCCCTCGGTAGACATACCACAGAAGGACCTAAAGTTTTGGGCTTGTAAAAACTGAACAAAATTCGCTTTGTAAAGACATTGATCTCTGCATAGTTTATATCGTAAATAGTATAAAAGATATCAAACTAGATGTGTCTTAACGCCACGAATGCTCCCGCAGGCAGCCAAAATTTCAAAAGCCATATTTAGTTTTAAATTTGTATTCGAACTTGACCTGTATTTTCTGGTAAAATACCTGCATATGCAATTTCAACCTGATATATACATGTACATCCCTACAAAAGAGCGGAAACTGAAAATTTCTAGTTCAAAAGGGATAACTGTCAAAAATCATCAGACCATGATCAAATTCGAACTTGACCTGTATTTTCTAGTAAAATACCTGCATATGCAATTTCAGCCTTATACATACATCCGTACAGTATTAGTACTACCATCAACGTTGTCAGTACTAGCACTACTATCGTCACAGTCTGTAGTACATGTGGTACTACTATCGTCACAGTCTGTAGTACATGTAGTACTACTATCATCACTCTCAGTACTAGCACTACTATCGTCACCGTCTGTAGTACATGTGGTACTACTATCATCACTCTCAGTACTAGCACTACTATCGTCACCGTCTGTAGTACATGTGGTACTACTATCATCACTCTCAGTACTAGCACTACTATCGTCACCGTCTGTAGTACATGTGGTACTACTATCATCACTCTCAGTACTAGCACTACTATCATCACAGTCTGTAGTACATGTGGTACTACTATCATCACTCTCAGTACTAGCACTACTATCGTCACCATCTGTAGTACATGTAGTACTACTATCATCACTCTCAGTACTAGCACTACTATCGTCACAGTCTGTAGTACATGTAGTACTACTATCATCACTCTCAGTACTAGCACTACTATCGTCACCGTCTGTAGTACATGTAGTACTACTATCATCACTCTCAGTACTAGCACTACTATCGTCACCATCTGTAGTACATGTAGTACTACTATCATCACTCTCAGTACTAGCACTACTATCGTCACCGTCTGTAGTACATGTGGTACTACTATCATCACTCTCAGTACTAGCACTACTATCGTCACCGTCTGTAGTACATGTAGTACTACTATCATCACTCTCAGTACTAGCACTACTATCGTCACCGTCTGTAGTACATGTAGTACTACTATCATCACTCTCAGTACTAGCACTACTATCGTCACAGTCTGTAGTACATGTAGTACTACTATCATCACTCTCAGTACTAGCACTACTATCGTCACCGTCTGTAGTACATGTGGTACTACTATCGTCACAGTCTGTAGTACATGTGGTACTACTATCATCACTCTCAGTACTAGCACTACTATCGTCACCGTCTGTAGTACATGTAGTACTACTATCATCACTCTCAGTACTAGCACTACTATCGTCACAGTCTGTAGTACATGTGGTACTACTATCATCACTCTCAGTACTAGCACTACTATCGTCACAGTCTGTAGTACATGTGGTACTACTATCATCACTCTCAGTACTAGCACTACTATCGTCACAGTCTGTAGTACATGTGGTACTACTATCGTCACAGTCTGTAGTACATGTAGTACTACTATCATCACTCTCAGTACTAGCACTACTATCGTCACCGTCTGTAGTACATGTGGTACTACTATCGTCACCGTCTGTAGTACATGTAGTACTACTATCATCACTCTCAGTACTAGCACTACTATCGTCACAGTCTGTTGTACATGTGGTACTACTATCGTCACAGTCTGTAGTACATGTGGTACTACTATCATCACTCTCAGTACTAGTACTACTATCGTCACAGTCTGTAGTACATGTGGTACTACTATCATCACTCTCAGTACTAGCACTACTATCGTCACCGTCTGTAGTACATGTAGTACTACTATCATCACTCTCAGTACTAGTACTACTATCGTCACAGTCTGTAGTACATGTGGTACTACTATCATCACTCTCAGTACTAGCACTACTATCGTCACAGTCTGTAGTACATGTAGTACTACTATCGTCACAGTCTGTAGTACATGTAGTACTACTATCATCACTCTCAGTACTAGTCAACATTTTCGGAATCTCAGACACCCGACAGCAGACTTCAGACTACGGACTTTTCAGTTAAGGGAAAGTGTTAAAAACATTATTTAGATAAAATGAATTTCTTTTTTGAAGTCTTGATTATCGATAATTACGTTTATTTTGTATAATTAAAGCCACTATACACTGTGAACTATTTTACGAAGTGTGTGTGCGGGGGGGGGGGGGGGTTATAATAATAATGTAACGCTCTCTTCCCTATACTAAAGATTTTTCGATTTTATAAATTTTAATATACCACCCTTTTGCAACAAACCCGTGGTGGGTCAAGGTCTAGGACTAAAAAAAATAGACTAAAATCTAAGACTTACTGAGTGCAGTCTGTAAATAAAAAAGAATAAAGTAAATGGCGTACTCTAGAAAACATGTTTTGTTGATTTAAAGAAAAAATAACTGGTTTGGGGAAAAAGAAAACATTACCCCGTGTCACATACGTATCACCTACAACTTTTTTTCATACCCCACATATCATAGGCGGATCCAGATATATTTGAAAGGAGAGGGTGAAGAGAAAATAACATTTACGAACAAAGAGCTTTGAACTACACCTGATTATAAAACTCTGATTTACAATAATTTTTCTTTTAAATTATAACTGAATATTACATTCTCATTGGAAGAGCCAAGTGTGCTTCTAGTTAGGCAAGTATCTAAAATCTGGAGCTGCTTTGTGTCTTCCACTGAATCCAGGAATCTTCTCTTAAGATTCTAGGAATTTGAAAAACAGACTTTAAATACAAAACCATTTATTTTAAGTTTGCATCGGCGTATTACAATGAAGTCTTGACAATGAATATAATGCAATTTGAATTATCGAGGGAATTGAATGAATACTATCAGTCTTATATACATGAATATAATAGTTCATATTCAACAAAAAAGAGAGAGAGAGAGAAAAAAAGAGAGAAATATTTCATGATTCTTTTTATTTTGAGTAATTAAAATCACTCAATTAAATCAGCCTAGCAATACACTTTTCTGTTTCAAATCAAGTATTTTGCTTTCAATGCCTCGTTCTTGAACAAGCCAGATATATAATGCAATATACTTAAACTATTTTTCAACACTCTTTTTTAAACAAATAGAAATGGTTGACTGTTTTCTACATTTAATTTATTTTAATCGAGCCGATGAGAATAACATGTTGAAAAATCACTTATTTTCCTATATTCCATGTACACTTGAGAGAAACCGAAATTTTTGATCGACTGCACAATGCTGGACTCAATGACATCGGATTCCATTTACACAAGTCTCTCCTTTTCACATCTACTTTTTTTGAAAATGTTCATTTATTTAGCCTATATACATTTTTTTTTAAAATTTGCACAAATACATGTATAAAAGAGAGTGCAACCACTGTACCCCCCCCCCCCCCCCTGGATCTGCAGCTGCATATCATGTATAGATATATCAATTCATGCATTTATTTGTTTGTAAGATGCCCCAAAATCAATTTTTTTTTTAATTTCTACAAATCTCTATAATGTTGGACTGAACAAGGTCGGATTCCATTTACACAAGTCTCTCCTTTTCACCACATCTACCTTTTTTGAAAATGTTTTCATTTATTTAGCCTCTATATTTTTTTTAATTTGCACAAATACATGTATAAAAGAGAGTGAAACCGCCGTAACCCCCCTCCTCCCTTCTGGATCTGCAACTGCATATCATGTATATAGATATATCAATTCATGCATTTATTTTTTGTTTGTAAGTTGCCCCAAAATCTATTTTTTAAATTTCTACAAATCTCTATAATTATGACATTATTTATTATTTTATCTTCATTCAATTTCGATAGATGTATAGGAGATAATGAGAAAAAAAATTCTCAGTACAGTACATACTACATGTTAGTAAGTTTGAAAACGTTATTTCTATACGTTCCCTGCGAGTCGTCTATTGTTTGCAGTCCGCTGTCTGTTGTACGTTGTCAGATGTCTGAGATTCCGAAAATGTTCAGTACTGCTATCATCGATGTCTGTACAAATACTTCTACAGTATTGCCTGCATAAATACTTTCACTGTCTGCACTAGTTCTACCATCATTATTGTCTAAACTACAGATGATGGAAGCATTGGTACAGAGCTACCATCATTACTATCTATACTACTTCAATGTTTCAAACTTTGTATACTTTCAAAAATAAATTTCATAAAGCTATACATATGTATATGATATATTTCATTAAGCACATAAAACAGCATTATCAGGTCATACATGTATTCTCATGAACTTTAAAGTTCGTCAATTACTGACATAAATGAATTCACATATTTTGTATTTCAGTTTTCAAAATTCATGAGAATACATGTATGACCTGAGTGATAATGCTATTTTATGCGTTTAATGAAATATATTATATACATATGTATACCTTTATGAAATTTATTTTTAAAAGTATGCAAAGTTTGAAACATATTTTTTGAGCATGGTTCATAGGCGTCGGAAACAAATTGAAAGTGGGGTGGCTAATTGAAAGTGGGGGGGGGGGGGAGGCTAAACCAACAAAAAAAGGTAAACCCCAATTTTCAATGCCTATATTATGTCTGTCTTTGCAAAAAAAGTGGGGGGGGGCTAAGCCCCCCCTAGCCCCCCCGGTTCCAACGCCTATGTGGTTAATGGATATAGTGTAAACCATGTACGGTATTTAAACTCTAAAGTTCGTCAATTACTGACATAAGTGAATTAACATTTTGTAATTATTTTGTATTTCAGTTTTCAGAGTTTATGCCATCTAACTCCTCATGATCACGAAGATATGAACTATATATATATATATATATATATATATATATATATATATATATATATATATATATATATATATATATATATATATATATATATATATATATATATAAACAAATTACACATGTAAATATAAAATCTTTTGTGGTTCTCAGGAAGTTTATCACCTGAAAACTTTAGGATGAAGTTTGATGACATCTTGGTGAGGATAGGGGAGTTTGGATTTTACCAGAAGCGGCTCTACCTAATTCTCTGTATACCTGCTATAAATGTGGGCTGTTATATGATGATGTTAGTCTACACCATGCATACACCGGCACACAGGTGACAAGCTACTCCGTAAAGATATTTCGACCATTGTTGATTATAGTGAATATCACAATTCTCTTATCCTCTTGAAAATTTGAAATTACAAAAACAATTCACAGTGCAGTTATTGTTTCCGAGTTCATACATTTACTTTTCGCCTCTGCGGCCGCTAACATACATTGTAATATGCTTGATATATATTAAACAAGCATTCTGAGAGTATTGCATTAGCAATACTAGTCCCCTACCGGCAAGTGTAATCTGGTTCCCGCTAAAAATTGAAAATGCCATAATTCCCTCAAGGCTAAGTCACATACCAAGAATCAGCTCAATATCTGCAAGCGTTTAGAAAAAAAAATTGCGGAAAACCCTGAAAAATTGAAAAGGTCATAATTCCGTCCAAAATCATTGAAGCGGAACAAAATGCAAACTTGATCTGCAACTCATCAAGATACTCTCACATACCAAAAATCAGCTCAATATCTGCGTTTAGAAAAAAAGTGCGGAAAACCAAGTGGGACAAACTGACAGACAGACAGAGGGACAGCTAGACAGACGGACGGACAGACAGACGGACAGAATCAGAGGAAACCCATAGTCCCCTCCGGTTTCACCGGTAGGGTACTAAAAAGAGGCCCATGGGAAACATCGCTCCCCGAGATATTGGCTAAGACAAAGCAGAAATCAGTTTAGTATTGAAAAGATTAAATATATAAGTGATTGCAACCCCCTCCCCCCTACCTCTCGGGAAAGGGAAATATTTAGTCAAGAAGATTTTTTTCTGTATGTTTGATCTTCTATTGTGACCCCGCCCTACCCCCGGTGAACATTATTTGAACAAACTGGAATCTACACTACTGAGGATGCTTCTGAATTATCATGATCATGAATTGCTGTTCTTAGGAAGAATATTTTTAACGATTTATCCTTTGTGTTCCCATGTAAAACTTTGTTCACCAATTGTGGCCCTTCCTTACCACCGGGGGTTATGATTTGAACAAATTTGAATGTAAACTACCCGAGGATGCTTTCATGTAAATACGTCTAGTCATGGCTTTGCTGTTCTTGAGAAGAAGATTTTTAAAGATTTTTCCTATGTACTGTATATCTTTGCAAAGGTTTGAACGCCCATCGTAGCCCCTTCCTACCCTGAGGGGTCATGATTTGAACAAATTTGAATCTACACTACCTAAGGATATGTTTCCATATAAATATCACCAATCATGGCTTTACTGTTCTTGAGAAGAAGATTTTTAAAAGATTTTTCCTAAGTCTTCCTGTGTAAAAACTTTGATCTGTCTTTGTGGCTCCACCCTATCCCCAGGGGTCATGATTTGAACAAACTTGAATCTACTCTATGTCAGGAAGCTTTCGCATAAGTTTATCTCTTCTGGCCCAGTGGTTCTTGAGAAGATTTTCAAATGACCCTTATCAATTTTTACTTTTTCTTAATTACCTCCCCTTGGAAGAGAGTGTTGCCCTTCATTTGAACAAACTTGAATCCACTTTACCCATGAATATTCTGTGCCAAATTTGGTTGAAATTGGCCAATGGTTCTGGAGAAGAAGATGAAATTGTGAAAATGTTCACAACAACTACAAAGACAATCACAACGACAACAGACTAATTCTGCTCAGAAAAGCTCACTTGAGCCTTCGGCTAAAAAGGAATTGTGATCACGGAAATTCAGTTAAGCATAATATAGTTACCGACCACTGTACTTTTTCGACTCTCATTTGTACATGTGTAATACCATGCCACGCAACTAAATGACGTTACATTGTTACCATTTTTAGGTGCAAAATTCCTGGATATGAAAATGATACATATCTCGAGCAAAATGAAAAGCACAGACAACTCATAAATGTGACTATCCCGCTCCCTGATGATCCCCATTCTGTTCTGAAATATGACAGATGTCACATCATAAGACGAGAGAATAACGTCACGACGGTTATGAAATGTAATGAATGGGTCTACGATACATCAGTGTTCGAAGAAACGTTTTCATCGAAGGTTATGTTTAAAATATTTAGCAAACTTTTTTGCTCTTTCGAATTTCTGGAAGTCGAAAATTTATTAAAGAAAAGGTTTAAGATTACATTTTTGTCTTTAGGTGAATTTAGTTTGTGACGATGCTTTGAAAACCTCCCACGCTCAGATGATCTTCTATTTCGGTGTGTTGGCTGGCGATGTGGGGTTTGGATGTGTTGCCGATGTGTACGTTCATATACCAGTACATAAAATTAAAATTGGAAAAGAAATGACAAATCCTTGCAAAGAAATTACACATTATATTCTCTGTTTTCAGATTTGGTAGGAAGAAAGCTTTGGTAATTTCTGCAGTCCTACAGGTTCTCTCTGCAGTCAGTGTGGCCTTTGTGTCGAATTATTACGTCTTTGTTATTCTGAATTTCCTCGTGGGAGCTGCATGCCATGGCGTCTTCGTTCCAGCTAGCGTTTTAAGTGAGCATTTGAATATTTATTTCATGTCAAACATAAATAAAACTCTGGTGATTTTACCAACAGATCCATTCTGTCTCGGTGAGCGAATCTACTGGAATCAGAGACGCTTTATAGCAATCTATGGCTTGATATAGTGATGTCTTGATAAGGAAATTGCCTCCGAAAAAGATATACTAGTCTATGAAGGATTTTAAAAGGTTTTCAATTTATGTCATGCATAGATAAAGGTTTTCTTTCTCTTCTATACAGTATGTTTGAAATGATTTTCCTTTGATGAAGTTAGCAGACAAACAGTTTAAATACCTTCAAGTATATTTTCATAAAAAAAAAAATATTTAATGAATTTAATTAATAATACTCTGCCATATTTTCTCATATTTCTAATTTCACAACCAATTATTGCCGAAAATTCATTTCAAGGCAATTTTTTTTATACAAGTTTTGTTTTATGCCCCCGTAATCGAAGATTCGGGGGGGGGGGGCAAATAGTTTTTGTTCTGTCCGTCCGTCTGTCTGTCTATATATATGTCTTTATCTGTTTTTCTGTTTGTCCGCAAAATCTTTGACCTTGCCCATAAGTTGGTGCTATGGATTTCATATTTCACTGGTGTATTCCTTGTGACAAGACCTCTCTTTGCATGGATACCAGCATTTTAGATCTCTTGACCTGAGTTTGACTTGCATTTCTGAAACTTTAACCTTCGCCAATGGTATCAGTGTTTCACAAACATATCTTGTTTTTATAAGTTTACAGTCACGTCTGATTTTGATAGGTGTTGAGATGGTAGGTCCTTCTAAAAGAGTAATGACTGGGATTCCTATCCATATGTTCTTTGCTGTTGGGCTGCTGTACCTGGCGGGGGTGGGCGCACTAGTCCGACACTGGCAGTACCTCCAGCTAGCTGTGGCGGTACCGTGTGCTGTCTATGTCTTGTATTGGTGGTAGGTTTCCCTCGTCTTCATCAGAAAAAAGAATACAAGAGACTGATGACCTGGAAGTGAAAACTGCTCTGTTTTGCCAAAACTGAGAAAAATTATTTATTTTTTGGAAGTTTTATTATGTCTATATTATCTTTAAAAAGGTGACATATTTCAGGGTCATACCGGAATCTCCGCGATGGCTGCTGTCACAGGGAAGAATGGAAGAGGCGGAAAAAATCGTACAACGTGTCGCTAAAGTAAATGGGGCTGACGTGAAGGGAAATCTTATTGTGGGAGAAAAAATTGAAATTCCGAAAGGGGAGAAAATTTGGCACGTGTTTAGACACAAAGTGCTATTTGTTCGGGCGATAATTTTGTTCATTAACTGGTAAGAAAAACTTCATATAATTATATTTTATGATAATTTTTGATAGCTTAGTTGACATGAAATAAAGGAAATCTTAGTGGGAGGAAAAAAAAGAAAGAAAATTCCTAAAAGAGAGAAAATTTGACTCGTGTTTAGATATAAAGTGTTATAATTTATTCAGACAATATACATGTAACTAATTAGAGTTTGTTCCTAATGAAGGCTGATCATTTTTTTTCAGGATTGTTATAGCTATGGATTATTACGGAGTAACCATGCATGTTGGAAATATAGGAGGAAACTTCTACCTAAATCAGTTTATTCTAGCAATTGTAGAGTTTCCTGCAAAAATAGCTACCATGCTTTTGTTAAACAGAATAGGAAGACAGAAGTTACACTGTTTGATAATGATCATAGGTGGCGCTGCATTACTGTGTACCATATTTCCAGTCCTCTACGGCAAGGAAGGCAAGACACATAATTATTGTAATTCTTGAAAACATGAATTATTACAATGTTTTCAGAAGACAGGAGTTTTCATAAAAAATAATAATTAATAATTATTAATATGTGAACTAATTAAAATTATCTGAGTCATTAATTCCATAATTTGCTATAGATGTTCTTTAGAGTCTTTTTTGTCACTTATACAGAGTTAAGTAGTCTGACACTGGTACTGTCGATCATTGGTAAGATGGGGTCATCAGCGGCCTTTGGTGTAATCTACATCTACACTGCAGAACTATATCCCACCGTGGTCCGTAATGGTGCTATGGGAACCAGTTCTTGTATCGCTCGGTTTGGTGGCATGGCTGCTCCGTATATAGCCTCAACAGTACGTACATGTACATCATAAACAAAGTAAGGCTCTGGCGTCACCTAAGATTATGGTAAATATCAATGCATATAGTAATTAAAACTTTAAAAATGTACATAATATTGACGTTAGAACAATGCTCCAATATTAATAACATGATTTTAAGGGGGCCGACTGGGGTTTTCATTGCGCAATACTTCGCGCAGCATAGTAAAATAAAGCGTATTTTCCATTTTAAAGCAATTATTTTTACATAATTTATAAAAAATTAACAAATTTAGGAAATCCCAGGTTAAAAAATCTAATTAAGTTTTTAAATAACTGATTTTTAAAACGATTTTTCAAATGATGGGTAGATAGACGTCGTAATAGCGTGTTTTTGACGTTATGAATAACCGAAGTTCTTTAAGCGGGGTCATTAATTATGCCATAAAATAAAAAAGTATAACATATAGGCTCTTGAAATTTTAAAAATAGGGAATTGAGAATCTCACAATCATTTTGATTATTTTTTATTTAAATCTGTGGTATCTGTCATGTTTTGTTGTACTCCATAAAAACAGGAAAATATTATGAATTTTTACATTTTGAGATGCCCCCTCTGGAAACCAGTAGAATTTTGTATTCCTTGCATAAAATGTACAATATAGTATTACCCATCAAATAATATAATTTGAGCAAAAACTCTATAGTAGCATATGTATAATTTGCTCCGAAGTGCGAAAAAATGGTATTTTCCTATATAATCCTATAGTAAATGCACCTGTATTTTGAGATGGTCCCTAGAAAATAACCAGACGGTAGATTTTCACTAAACTTGGCATGTACACTGAATTCAATGTAAGGCACATATGGTATAAAATTAAAGAGTTTCTCTGTAGTAGTTTTCACACAATAAAACCCCAGTCGGCTCCCTTAAAAAACCAAAGACGGTTTAGCTTTATAAATAAGATTAAAAAGCTGTCTGAGAAAAATTCGAAATATCCATGGGGCTTAAAAATCAGGAAATACAATTTTTTAGTGCATTTTAGCATCTTGTAAAAACATTAACGCTTTTTGGCAACTTTCACGTGACTTTTGGCAGAACGAGTCTCGGTGATGTTTCAGCTCGAAGAGATCGGGCTGGCGTATTATATACATGTGTAAGCCATACAAAATTAAGGGTCTGGTGTATTATATACATGTATAGGACATACAAAACTAAGGGTCTGGTGTATTATATACATGTGTAAGCCATACAAAATTAAGGGTCTGGTGTATTATATACATGTATAAGCCATACAAAATTAAGGGTCTGGTGTATTATATACATGTATAAGACATACAAAACTAAGGGTCTGGTGTATTATATACATGTATAAGACATACAAAATTAAGGGTCTGGTGTATTATATACATGTATAAGACATACAAAATTAAGGGTCTGGTGTATTATATACATGTATAAGACATACAAAACTAAGGGTCTGGTGTATTATATACATGTATAAGACATACAAAACTAAGGGTCTGGTGTATTATATACATGTGTAAGCCATACAAAATTAAGGGTCTGGTGTATTATATACATGTATAAGACATACAAAACTAAGGGTATGGTGTATTATATACATGTATAAGACATACAAAACTAAGGGTTTGGTGTATTATATATACATGTGTAAGCCATACAAAATTAAGGGTCTGGTGTATTATATACATGTATAAGACATACAAAACTAAGGGTCTGGTGTATTATATACATGTGTAAGCCATACAAAATTAAGGGTCTGGTGCCTCATGTATCTCATACATAAAGGTAGTGTCTGACGTCGCTTCAACACTTTCTACTTATATCAAAGGCGGATCTATAGGGCCGGCGCACGACCCCCCACCCCCCTCCCCGTTTGAAAATTTTATATGTAGTCTAATAGAGCTTATAAGTCACAATTATTATGTCCATTATCCTAAAATCAAGGAAACATCATCTCTTATTTGTAAGAATTTGTCAGCCCCGGACCCCAACCAGGGCTTTGCTCTAGACCCACTGGGGGCTTCAATGCAGCCCCCAGACCCCCCTTGCCTTCAACTGCCCCCCCCCCCCCCGTTATGAAATTCTTGGATCCGCCACTGTATATGATAAACTCTTATATCCACCAATTGTACGTGTATTATGGTTAAGAACTTAAGATTTTAGCCCCTCCCCCGCCCTAAAAATAAATAGCAAAATATCTTTTATTTTAGATAGATACATAACATAACATTATACAGCCACATATTTTGGATACCCCTATTGAATTTGACAGTGAACAATGATGATTTTTTTTGACAGAGTGACTATGTGAGTGGAAAATTTGGCCAGGCGTTGCCATTGGTGATATTTGGTGGTTCCTCCGTCACTGCCGGCTTTCTGACCCTCTTTTTACCGGAAACCTTACGTAGGAAGCTACCAGAAACCATCCAAGATGGAGTCGAATTTGGAAAGTTTGTGACTATACACACTAGATGTCATGTTATGTAATAATTAATTTATTGTATTATTTGCTGGACAAATTCCAAATCGATTTGAACCACTTGATGTAAAAATAAATTATAATGTTGATAATATTTATATATATCTGTACCTGCGTATTTTTGTTTTGTTTTGTCTTTTTTTTTTTTTTTTGGTTTGATTCTTGTTCCAATATATTTATTTTTCTGCAGAAAGAAAGACGAGTTGATCATGAATGGCTTTTCTAAAAGAATCAAAACACCGCAACCGAGTTCGTCCTCCTTTGATAATACTGCATTTGAGTAAGTTTGCTGTATAGTGATGTTCATTTCAAAGTATTTTTATTTTATTATTTTTTTTGGGGGGGGGGGGGAGGGGGGTTGATGTTGTTAAAACCTTGTTTTCTTTATCCATTTCCATTTTTCTTTTAGATTTTAGCAAATTATAACCCCGTGGGATTTGGTAGGATAGGGGTGCAAATCAACCCTAATTTACTACCATGTAATTTAATCGCAATAGACGTAAAACAATACAGTAACCAATCAACCTTTCTGTGCTCGCGGTCGCAAGGATGTTATTTTCATATGCTAGTAACTCTGTTTTGCTGGCCATACAATACACCATACAGAACACCGATTTCCCTTTTGCCTATTCTAACAAAAGAATTTTATCAAACCTTAATGTTGTGTTGTAAATACATGTTCGTCGATTTAATTAAAAAATATTTATAAATGACTAACTGACAGTGTTGATATTAATTGTGTTGAGAAATTATTGAGGTATATTTATATATATTTCATTTCTTCTACTTCTAATATTTCAGGGGAACTACGTTGTAACAAAGAAGAAGTGCGGTGACATATATATGTTCAATGGTACATCAGCATAATATATCATAATTTTCATGTACAATATATGAATATGACTTGAAAAACAAAAAAAGCTATCTATCTCATTGAGAAGAAAGATTGACCATGAAACAGTCATTGGTGGAGAAATTTACGGATGTTTCTATTATTAATGTATCTCTGTATACTTTAAAAAAAATATTTCTGTCTTTTGTGGAAGATTTTTGAAGTCCAGGTTTATATCAGATTCATTGAAAAGATTTTATTATTTGAGCTCACCTGAACCAAATGGTCAAGTGAGCTTTTTTGATCATCTGTCTATTCGTTTTGTTAACTTTTCACATTCTGGACTTCTTCTTCAGAACCACTGGACAATTACATCCAAACTTACCACAAGGTATTCCCAGGGAAAAGAAATTCAAGTCAAATTTGTTTAAATAAAGGGGAGATAAGCAAGAAAAATTCATGTAAAAAAATCAAGATATATAAATCTAGATCAGAAAAAATAAACTTATGTGGAAGATTCCTGATATGTTGTAGATTTATGTATGTTGCAATGATAGCCCCCGGAGTTTGGGTGGAGTCAAAATGAAGGATCAAATATTTATTTTTGAATACATATTTTTAAAAAGTACTTGAAAATTTGTGGCATACTTTTTCATATTTACATGTATATGCAAGCATCTTCAGCAGATTCAAGTTTTGTGACTCAAACAAGTTATCTTTTCTAAAAATTTCATTAAAATGATAACTTGTTTAATAGTTTATTTTGTGTCAATCCCCTAACTCCATGTGCATGTGCACCACAGGTTTGTGCTCGTGCACCAATACAAAAAACAAATGTTTAGTTTATTCTAAAGCTTAATCCAGTAAAAGTGTTCAAAGTCCTTGAAAAAGTGGGGAAAATTGTCAATTTAATGGTAAAAACTTCAGCAAAAAAATGTGTTTGTGAAACACTGATGCCCCCATTTGGCAGCTTATGGCGAATGTTAAAGTTTCTCAAATGCAAGTCAAACTCCAAAGTCAAGAGATAAAAAATGTTGGTACCCAAAGAAAGGTCTTGTCTCGAGGAATATATATTCCTGTGAAATTTGAAAGCCCTAGCACCAACTGTTCAAAAGTTCTGGCGAAAGTTTAAGTTTTTCAAAAGTAGGTCAATCTCCAAGGTCAAAGGGTCAAAATTGTTGGTATCCAAAGGAAGGTCTTGTCACAAGGATTACATATGTGAAGTATGAAAGCCCTAGCACCAACCATTCAGAAGTTATGGCCTAGGTTAAAGTTTTTCAAAAGTAAGTCAAACTCCATGGTCAAGGTCAAAGTGGTTGATATACAAAGGAAGGTCTTGTCACAAGGAATAGACATGTTAATGAAAGCCCTAGCACCAACCGTTCAAAAATTATGACCAAGGTTAAAGTTTTTCAAAAGTAGGTCAAACTCCAAGGTCAAAATGTAAAAGTTGTAATTATCTAAAGGAAGGTCTTGTCACAAGGAATACACTTGTGAAGTTTGAAAGCCCAAGTATCAACTGTTCAAAAGTTATAGCCAAGGTTATAATTCTCATAAAATTTTGCAAAAGTGGGTCAAACTCCAAAGTCAAAAGGTCAAATATGATGGCACCCAAAGAAAGGTCTGTCACAAGGAATACACATGTGAAATATGAAAGTCATAGCTCCAACCAATCAAAAGTTATACCCAAGGCTTTAAGTTTTTGCGGACAAACAGACAGACAGATGGACGGACAGAGCAAAAGCTATATACCCCCGAATCTTCCATACGGAGGCAAAAAAAATGTAAATGTTACACCCCAATGTAATAAGTAAAATGTTACTTATCTCAATCTCCTCACCAATCCTTCTTTGGCGTCTGTGCACTGCATTTTGTATTGGCAAACTGCAGTTTATATTGGCGGGAAGTATAAAAACCCCACGATTTCAGTCAAAATCAATGACCCAATGGGATAAAAAGTAACATGAATAATTTTTTGAAAATATACATGTGTGTAAAAAAAACTTACGTCAATTATTTTTCAAATAACCTGTTTGCATTTTGTCCCTGACTGATTAGTATGCAAGCATCCCTTATTTAAATTTGTTCAAATCATGGCCCATGGGGGTAGAGTGGGGGCCACGGTGGGAGATCAGAGTTTTACATGGGAAAATATAGAAAAAATTAAGAATCTTAATTCTTCATCATAGCTGGACCATGACATATTAATATGTAACCGTCCTCATGCAGGTAATGGAGATTCAAGTTTGTTCAAATCATGACCTGAGGATAGAATAAGGGCCAAAATAGAGGATCAAAATTTCTCAAAAAAGGTGATTTAGGTGAGGGTTGTGTAGTTGTTGAAGCATTTGTAAATGATTATTATGTTTACTTAGGAAAGGATTCTTGTTTGGTTTGGTTTCTGACTAATTAATTATATTGAGATGTAATATGGAATTTGAAAAATAATAAATCTTGACATAACAAAAATGGGAAATTGCGTTTTCAATCTTATTCTAACTTACAATGTACATGACATATCATTGCGAAGAGTCGATATAATAATACATGAGAATTGTTAAAGAACAGAAATCGATACAATGTTCTTTATTACTAGTAATTGTGTGATTTTGCTTGATCTTATTCCAACTATAAACTTGTGTGATCATTTTTTTTAAATTAAGTAAGTATTGGAAAAAAAACCTTTAAAAATAATATACCCGGTATTAGGAAAAAAATATAGAAGCTTAATTTAAATCGTCAATATATATATATATATATATATATAGAGAGAGAGAGAGAGAGAGAGAGAGAGAGAGAGAGAGAAGCTAAATTTTAATCATCAAAAGACCTGCATCATTCTTTTTGGAAAGTCGCGGCTAAGATAAATGTCATTCGATCTACATAATATTTTAAGGTGCTTCGTCCACAAGGTTCTGAAAAGAAATTGGAAATATTACCCCACCCCCACCCCACCCCCCCCCCACCCCAAAAAAATAAATAAATAAAACTGATGTACATTTACCTATGTAATTCTCATCAGAATCTCTCATTATACACCTAGTTATCATGTTGAATAATGAAAAAAAAATTAACGCATATATTAATATTGTAGTTGAATATTTATCTGATAATAAATATATTTGGTTAAAAATGTCAATGCATCTGAAAAATGTTTGTAATACTTATGTGGCATTTACTTCTATTAATTACATCTTATTATATATAACTCTTACAAGTACGATGTTTAAACATAGTAAGATATCCTCAGAAATCACTTCCAATTTAATTTTATGCATGCTGTATGTTACAACGCGAATTGTAATAACAACGCAAAATGTAATAGACCGGGATTATTAAATTTCGCGTTATTACATTTTCATTACATCATACATTACATCGAAATCAACGCAGAATGTAATAAAGTAAAATGTAATAAGAAACTTAGGAATATTACATTTTGAGTTATTACGTTTTGCGTTCATGTCAATGCAAAATCTTATAACGCAAAATGTAATAAGATATTTGTTGGATTATTTTATTTTTTGTTATTATATTTTGCGTCAATATTAAGCAAAACGCAACATGCAAATTTTTGGTCAGTTAGGCTGAGAATAATTTTAACACCAATGATTATATATTGCTTTATTATTAGCCGTTTCCTGATCTACGAAATAATGCAAGTTCCATTTCAAGGGATCAAATATAACGTGCCAATTTCCTGGCTTTCAGACATGACAATTTTTTATTTTTATTTTCTTTCTTTTTTTTTTTAAATCCAAAAGGACGTGTCCATGTCTTGTGTTTACGTATATTTGAGGAACTAGTATTTGATTCGCCAGTTATATCATTGATTCAATTCCATCGATTTTTAATCATCTTTGCGTTCAGTACCACTAGTATTCAGCAGGTGTACAATTTTTATGAAAGGAGCAGACAATGCAAAAATTTACTAGGAAACAAAAACTCAAAATTCTATGAGACAAAGCTTTATTTTTGCACAAACAAGGGACAATTATATAAAGTACCTTAAAGCATTTCATACTGCTAACCCACTCATCTACTTCGGCACAATACATATATATATTCATATTTTATAATATTAAAGATATGTTTAAATCAATTTTATGATGTTTTGCGTTGAACAAAATGCCAAAAAAATTATCATGTTATGTGTTATTTCATTTTTTATTTTATTACATTTTGCGTTGCCCTCATCGAAAAAATTAAATAACGCAAAATGTAATAATCAAAAAGTACATTACTACATTCTGCGTTAATCTCGACGCAAAATGTAATAACGCAAAATATAATAATCCTAAAAAGTCTGTTATTACATTTTGCATTATTACATTCTGTGTTGATTGTGACGCAAAATGTAATAAGAAAAACGTAATAATCCCAGTTTATTACATTTTGCATTGTTATTACATTTTGCGTTTTAACAATGCTATAATTAGCCTTTGTATTCAAGGCAAGTTTTTTTAGTTAAAGGAAATTAGATTTCTCTAATAAAAAAATCCTTTTAGAACTATAGAGAACACATATCAACCATACGAGGCCCTTAAAAAAATTCAACTATATCAGCTTGACGGGGAATTATATTAAAAAAATCATGAAATAAAATATTTGCTTAAATTTTTCAGATTTTTTTTCGAGGGGGGGGGCACTTTTTCTGAGAAGAGCCTTTGAACTCGGGCAAATTCCAGTATTTGAAAAAAAAATGCCAAAAATTTAAAGAAACTTTTAATTAGATTTGATTATCAATAGCATTTATATAAGACTTTAAATAACCACATTCATACAAATTACCAATAATCAACATAAGTCTCCAGTGTACAATATACCCTTTTGTGTAATTATCGATGTCGGATAACAACATCCTAACAACGTCAGGGGCCCAGTGTCAACTCGTTGCTGTTGGTCCAACTGCAATGTAACAGGGTTTTCTTATGGTGTTAAAGAAGAACTCCTGCGTCTAAGGTTCGATCATTTTATTTTGTCATGTTGAATAAATAAATACATCAATAAAGCCCTGAAAATATCAATAACA